AACTTGGTAGATCTTCTCGGAGATAAGCACCGTACACGCAGAAAAAAAAATGGCAGAGAAATGCGATGCCAAGGAAATACGGGCGTTACGATCAGATAACGTGGAAGGAGCTCTGGGAACAAAATTCAGTGGAAAGCACAGAACGATTAGAGTAAATGGACATTATGCTGCATGATGATTTATTTTCTGCTCAATTACTACACGAAATATTGATTAGCACTAGCTTTTTTAATTTTTATTTTTGTGATACAGTGCTCTACTACTTCATAAAAGGATGAGAATAATTCGAAAAAATGGATTCATAGGTCACTTACGTCACAAAGTCTAGAGAAGGAGGGAATGCTGGCAAGGAATGATGGCACGGCATGGGAGCACAAAGAAAAAGCCGGCCTGTGTGTTTCTACACGGTCTCTATTCAAGGCCTGCAGACTCCTCCTTTGCTCGGCCCTTCTTCCCCATCAAAGGAATGCGCACATGTCCCAACTGAAAGCGTAAATCAATTGTCTATTATTCTGTTGCTTTGGTAAACATATTCAAGTGAAAATCTGGTGTCAGGTTGCTGTTAATGGTGAAAATGAAAAAGGTAAATGGTGAAAAAGGTGCGTGGAAAGCGATTGAAATGCCAAGAATTCAAAATTTCTGAAGTTCCTCTCCCTATGGATGGGAACTAGCGACGATGGGAAGCCACCAGGAAAAGGCAACATTCGCTACAAAAATCTTTATATAGCCTACACGATTCAAGAAAGATCTTCAGACTCTTCGCTTTCCAAAAGGACGCTGACGGTCCGGCCCAAAACGAGCAATATCAACAGAAGAATATGTTGGGAGCCAACTTGGATTGGAACTCAGCCCATCTTCATACTGCCTATTGAGCTGGAGAAGTGAGTTGCAAAAACTCATTACAGTCGTACGCTTATGTACATGAATTACACGATTTTCACTCCCTACATAAATAAAATTCAATTATTCTTGAGAAAGGCTTGGAGTGGTCGCAATTATAATGCTCCTTCATAGGTAGCGCTGAAATGCCTCAGATCGAACTGAGCTGAGCTGAACAAGGTGAATCAGATGTTGTAGTAAAGTATACCAGTTCCATCTGAATACATGAAGATACTGATTCGATCAACAGCTAGCCTCTTTCAATAGACACCAAGAACAAGAATACATGAAACGTTCAGTCTTTCCGGAATAACCAACCAAGGATCCATTNGCCCTCAAAAACGTGAGTCTTCACTCTGCACTAACTGCATACGTCACTGTCGATCTGGGCAACAACATTTGAAGTGTCAGTATTTGATCATCACTATGTACCGTCTCGTAGCTGGCTATGATCCAATTTTCACACGCTGAAGTACCTCACCATCAAACTAAGCTTTCGTCACCTGCTCTATCGCGGCGGTCATCAGATTTTTTCCACTTCTATCTTCAAATACTAGTTATTCCAGCTGTAGATATGAACACATTGCAATCAACCACCGCTATTTCTGTGAACATGCTCGCCCTCGTACTTCTAACCAAATCACTCGAGTCAAATTTATCTAGAGGTATGGCTATGGTTTGGCTCTCATGTTCGGGACTATCGTTCACTGGATATCTTGGCTTAAATGAAGTCAGGATTGAAGTAGATGTCTTTGGAAGGAGCATTGTAGAATTGAAATTACTTTTCTATGTTCTCCTATTTCCTAAGCACATGAAAAATCGAAAACAATCAATATTTCTATACAGGAGTTTCTGCTCTAAACCTATGATTTAGGCGTACATGGACGAGTAGTTTTGAGTTCTAGAAACTTAGCCTATAAATTACTAAGCAATTTGAAGCAGCTCTGGAGCTCACCACAGTTCGTGGGTCCCATATTTTTCAGACTTCGTCCATGTTTTCAGCTTCCATCTGCTCACTCCCACCAATTCCTGGGTATGGCGATTGCAACACTGACCATGAGGAACACTTTTATTTCGATAAATACGAGTTAAGGTATTTAAACTCTTTTTTCTTCGACTAATTTGAATTTTGAGAATTTTAGCCAGGAAGAATGACTGCCTCATAATAAAGTGGAAAAGGTGACTCGGGAAGGGGAGTGGGCGGATGGGGAGAACACAGCCAACCGATACTACTTACCTAATTGAGCATTTTATTCTAATGCTGGATCAATTAAGTCGTTAGATAACCGAATAATGTGAGCTTGGAGCGAAACTTTTTGTAGAAATACAAAATTGTTATTTGGGAGAAGCCACGACCTTCAGGTGCAAGAAATTTTTGTTCATGAATTGCCTTGGTGGTAACGAAAATCGATTTGTCACGGAAGCGCAGTGCAATCGTTTTTGCCAAAGTTCAGGTTAGCTCCCAAATAGATTTTAGAGGGTGATAAGAAGAGTAACGATGATATTTAGCGTGTGCAGCTGGTGAAGCAGTAGCTGTCTCCTCATCAGGAGTTCCACTCATCTGCGATAAGCCGTCGATTTGCCCACATGGATACAAATGTGTCTACAACAAGCTTTTCAACAGACACCACTGCTGCGGATTTTCTAACAATGGTAAGGTAATTTTAAGTAGAATACATTTTCAAAGTATTTTCTTCGGTAACGCACAGAGCATGAGTAATGGGTGTTAAAGCGGTCTCTGCCTTGGATAGAGGGGCTCGTTTGGGAGGAATAGGTGGATTTTGGGAGTTCTGAACTATTCACTCGTCATAATCAGAATCATGTGGGTTTAGCTTTGTTAGGGAGCATATGTTGTAGACACTTATATAAATGCCCACCCTGAAACAGTTATGAGTAACGAGAGATGGAGCAAGTGCTGACTTCCCGGGTGTAGTGCAGTAGGAACGAAATTGCCGCGTCGCGGCGAGAGGGAAGCCGCGCGCGATGGATTACAGCAGAATGCAGCAGCAGGAAATGAATGCCAAAGAACTAACAGTAGAATCATGACTAAAATAAGGATCGCTGTACGATTGAGCTGTATGAAGAACGCTGGAGCTGTAATAACGGCGACGAAAGGTCCGCGACAGCCGCGTGCGGCGAATCGATTACAGAGAACCGCTCCTACTGCCTGTCTTCCCTGACTTCCCCACTCACACCACCTCCTCAAGAACAGGGAGAGCGCTAAGTGGGTTCCTATAGCTCTGTCGTTTCCCGAGTACGCTCCCGGCAACCTGGATCAAGGCTGAGAGGCTGGTGGAGTTCGTTGGCCATTATTACTTTCTACGAGAGGAGCTGTGTCATAGCCATTGATGCGGTTGGTGGTCCGCAGGTTTTCATATGAAGAAAATCACCAAAAATCTTGTCCATTCTGGGAAATGAATGAAATGAACGTTCTCCACTTTCTTAAGAGTAGGTTGCCATGCGAAACTAACTTTGTAACACTGTGAGGGTTATTCAAAGCATCCCGCTTCTCTGGATGACAAAAAGGTTCCGAAAGCACTTTTTCTCTGAACGTTTGCCTCATGTAATCAGACATGTTCCAGGTGGCGTTTGCCCCGTGGATTCCGTGTCGTACACCTCTCTGGCTACAGGAGCCGCTTTGCGTTGCATACCATCAACTCGCAGTGATTCGTGTCCAGAAGGATTCATTTGTGTAGGAAAAGGACAGAGTGGATATTGTTGCAAACCAAAAGGTAGACTTCCTTTCAATTAAACTTGTTTCCTTACTTATCCAATACGGTCATTGACTCTGAAGTTCATAGGTTCTGTCTTTTGTTTATGTCGATAAATGAGCAAAACCCTTTTTGAATTCGCTCCTGTTCACTGCTCTTCAGATAATAAATGGTCTCCTTAACCTTCATCTGCTCTACTTATAGTGCTCCCGAAAAATCTCTTGACTTTAGAAGTAGTTTTTTTTTGGCTGAAAAAAAATATTTGAGAACTTTAAGGAAATTGATAAAAATGATTAACTGATAAAAAATTCCCACTTATCGTTAAGGAATGACAAGTAACCAAACAAGCCATGGCAGCAATTTCTTTAGATATCTGTCCTCTCGGGCAAATCGCAAAAAAACGCCTATCATCAGAACATCCGGTGAAATGTAACTTACAAGAAGTGATTGACGACTGCAGCAAAGGGTTCGAATGCATCTCTCCTTATCACGCTCCATGGGGTTTTTGCTGCTCTTCGAATGTTACCGGTGGGTTCTCTTCTTGTTTTCTCTATGCACGGCATCCCTTCACCAATTTCCGGTTCGGAGAATTAGTGCACGTGCGAGCCATACTGCCTACCAAGCTTTTCGGGAGGCTATTTTAGGAACCAAATAATAATCACAATTCTCTTTTCGATAGTTATCTTTTTTACGTAAAGGTTTAGTACAAAACAGTTACCTGATTATGAAAGAGTTAAAATTTTTCTTTCCGAGTAGCCGGACTTATAAGTTATTCTGCGACTTCCATGACCTTATAAAGTTTCGAGTTCGTTCTGTGGAATGATAGCATCTAGCCCGTGATATTTTATGAGTGAACTTAATTCAATTTTGAGATTTTAATTCATTCTAGAATGTTTTTCACAAGCTTTTATTCAAAAAAATCCATCAAGTCGCCTTAAACAAAAAATGAAGCTATCAATGTTGCCAAGTTCCACTCGGAATGCGCCACAAAACTAGTTTCCTTTCGGAGTTTCAGAGGGAGTTGAATGCACATGTTGCCTATGCAACGACTTACGGTAACTAGCCAATATGTGAGTTAGTTCAATCGTCCTACCACAAAAATGCGGTTCCAATGAAGGAACTCTTAGAAATATACCGTGCGAGTAACCCATTGAAGGGAAGGAAGTAATTTAATATAAAATAAGCGTCACCCCCTTACAACATTCCCTCTCAACGTGCCAGTTATCGCCATTTCCCCGCCCCTGACAAAATTCGTGAATTTACTGAGACAGTTTAAGTTTCAATATAACGAAGAATGGTGTATTTTTTTTTCAGGATGGTGTCCGAACGACTCACGACCATTCTCGAGTCCTAACAATGGCCAACCGCAGAAGTGTACTGTAGGAGTGACAGTATGCAGGTGATTTCCTCTCAATCTGCAGCGTTTGCCCTACATGCAAAGGAATGGGCTACACTGATACAACCACCAATTGATTGTTAACGTAGCATCGCTTTTGGCTCCTTCTATGTCGTTTTCGGTACACATTTGGGCGCAGACCAATCTTATGCAAGAGTACCCATTTGCACAGATGGAGCTGTAAAAATAGAGGCGAATTTTGCGTAATTTATTCGCTGTTACAGTAACACCAGACCGCTGCCGTAAATCATCTCTGCGTATGTGGTCCAAACGTATGGTCCTATCCATTCAGCACAACTTTTCCGTTTCCATAGCTTAAAAGCGCTGGGCACTGAACCGGGGCTGCCAAGAATTCAGAGCTGATACCCAGTCATCTGAGATAGAAGGAGTAAAGGCCTTGTGCAGAAGACCACAGAAGTTTCTTGTTCAGGGTTGGCTACAGCTGTCAGAGTCGAAACAACTCAATCATCGGATTCTGTTGTTCAGATCCACCAGATAGTGGCTATAGTAAGTTCTTTGAAAGTAA